TCTCTCCCTCCCTCTCTCTATCTCTCTCTCTTTCTCTCTGTATGTGTGTGTGTGCTTGCGCCCCCCCCTCTCTCTCCCTCCCTCTCTCTATCTCTCTCTCTTTCTCTCTCTGTATGTGTGTATGTGTTTTTGTGTGTTTGTGTTTGTGTGTTGATTATATAAACCAGTCTCACTCACAACAACACGTATGTACACAGCACGTGCACGCATTGTTTTGACCCACAGTTGTAACATGTTGCGAGTGAGCTGAATGCTTTTGATGAGAGGGATTTTTTTTGTTGGGGGGGGGAGGCGAGGAGTTGACTTGTTCTTTGTGATAATTGGTTTTTTAATTTATTGATTTTCTGTTTGTAATGATGATGATGATATTGTTGTTGCTGTTGTTGTTGTGGTTGTTGTTTTGCTGGTTTGTTTACCAGTCATCAGGTGTTGTTTTTTTGTTGTTGTTGTTGTGGGGTTGTTGGGTTGTTGTTTTTTGGGGGGGGGGTTGTTGTTTTTTCTGAATTTCATTGCTTTTTGTTCAGAATTTGATATTTTTACAACTTTTATTTTTTAGCTTTAGTGTATTCATGTATTTTCTTGCTTTACTTTATTTTTTTCATTCATTCATTCATTCATCATCCATTCATTCACTCGTTCATTCACTCGTTCATTCACTCATCCATTCACTCATTAATCTATTTTGCTTGCTTGTTTATTTGCTTATGCGTTATAAAATTGATATTTTGGGGGGTGGGAGAAGGGGTGTTATGAGAATGTACCCTGGTCCTCAATGGGAACACTAGTGCATGTAGACTGGCAGAAGCCCCTCGAGCAGTAAGCAGACACCGGGCCCGGGTATATATCGATTGTGTCTGTGTCAGATATTGTGGTGATCCCAGGGGGACTGGGCCCGCGGCTTTTTGGACAGGGTCTCTCTACGCTACGTACACGATAATTTAGACGCTCTCTTTTGGACAGGTTCTCTGTACGCTTCGTACATGATAATTTAGATGCTCTCGATTGGCACTCTTGTGTTGAACATGCCCTGTGTTACGTTCTTCTCCTC